TCATATATGACATCGCCTGTCGACTCAACATGTTGAGTGCACCGACAGGTCCTCTTAGCAAATAAAGAGAAAATTTTAAACTCTTATTGTTTTTTTCGTCCTACTTTGGTAGGACATTTAACTAGCTAACCTGTCTAGACGGTTAGTTAGTTAACTTCTACAAGGTGAAAGAACCTAATTGTCAACTCTATTAGGAAGATACTAGTAATGATATCAAAACTAGGAAGTAATCTTGGTTATCGAGCCTTAGGTGAATGACAAAGTACTATGAAGGAAAATATGCAATAGAACCCTATGGGAGTGAAATAGAACATTCAACCTAATGCTGAGGCGTATGCTATCTAACGTGATAAGCTAATACTACCTCATTAATAAACTTATGAATTAAAATATGATCTACCTTCTCTTAAGAGGATTAATAACAATTTTTTGTAACTAAACCTTATTGTAATATAAACATAATAAAAAAACTAAATATAATTAAATAAATAAAACTAACCGTATAATTCGGAGCCATCTGCTCTTTAGCTAGGAGCTTTCTATCTATAGAACATAAATCATAGAGGGTTACTTGACTCCACAAGATCAATAATAACTTGATAAACCTGTCATACTATCTTCTAAGTTAAAAAACTTGGTTAAATAACAAACAAATTTAATAAACTAACCTAGTTATGTATAAATCAACTCGAGTTTAATACAATCAAGTTAATGTAATGAAATTAAATCTAATAAAACTCAATATCAATTAATTATTGAACTTTTTATTTGCATCAAATTAAAGGCTGCATTCAATCATACGATCCTTCGTGAAGCTTTAGTACATTATTCATGTGACGCTACGATTACTAATATTGTCGTAAGGCCCGTTAAACTAACCTAATATAGAGCGGCCTAGGTAGATCTGTTGTAGTTAACTACCATACACTATCAAATTCAGTTAACGAATACAGCTAAGTTACTAGACTAAAGCTATGTTCTGTGAATAGCCAAGACGAACGCCGCTAGAGCAACCATTGTAATGCAATTTAAATTAACATAATAAATAATAAACTAACTTGATTAAACTTTAAATGAAATACAAATGAAATGTAATAAATAAAATCTAATAATACAAACAAAAAAAAAATAATAAACATAAAAATGTAATTCAAATTAAATACAATGAATAAAACTAGATTAAAATTTAAAATAGAAAATATCATTTTTACAAAATACTTATGTGCAAGCAGCTTAAACTTTGGTTTCATACAGTCATGTAAGAAAAATAGTTCGGTTAACAGAATGCTATTTTGCAACTCAAAAATAAAAACACAAATTAAAATAATAATGAACTTAAAAATTCTTAGTTGAAAAATAGTGCTTTTACTATATGAAAATAATAAGCGCAAAACATCGTATATAGAGACGACTTGAAACCGTCTCGTTGCTTTCGCACGTCCTGTGCGGTCATTTAACTTACACATTTTTTATCTTACACATTTTTATCTTGGCGCGGGACGTGTTGAAGCAACCTTGACTTGACTGTGCTGTAGTCGTAAGCCCTTTGGTGTATATAGTTAAGCCATTGGCCGCTACACAGGTTGGCTCATTAGATGTGAGTCTCGCTGCTGGAGCAGGCGGCTCCGTGGTGTATTAAACCGTCGTGCAAGGTAGTGAACGGGATCTATCGGCCTTCGTCAAGTTATTGTACATACTGCATTGGTTGTAAGGACTCGCCGGCAACTAGTTTTTCGGTTTTATGCTGTCCCCAGGACCATGTGAGTAAAAGTGGCCCAAAAGGCCCTATAAATAAAAGATGCGGCCAACTTTCAGGTTAGTCCTCGAGGTTTCCGATGGTTTCGATCTAGGGCGCTCGGAAGGTTGTCATCCTAAGGCGAACTGCCATACTAATCTAGACTAATCTTTTGGTCGGGTCATGTCACCCTCTACTATCCAGAGGCGTTCGTCTATTAATCATTCTTTAAGCCCTCTGCTGAGTCGGATAATGTACATTAAACTCAGGTCAAACATGGCTAGTATCCGATTTGATACTTGAACTTAATGGCGAATTACTTACCAATCCAACGGATCGTGACTATGGTACCTTCCTGACTGGAGGCTCTTGGTTGACAGTTACTTGGCACTTAGGAAAGGCGCAGGTTGCATATAGTTAACTAGCTTGGTCACCAAGTGATGTTAGAGAAGCACGGTTCGAAAGAACTCCTTTTAAAACTGACAAAAACTTGAAATTAGCTAAAGTCTATAGGCAGGTGCTAAATTCCCTGTGTCTGTGGACGCCGACCTTGACTAGCCGGAATGGATACTAGAGGTTTGTAGCGAATGGACGACTTTAGAACAGGTAAATGGCAATACCACACAAATAGCTAACTACTGTTTCCTTGTCATCCAACTGCTACGCATTGAGTACTACATTGCCATCTGGAGATGCTCTTATAGTGAACATCAAAGGATGAGCTGAGTTAACTCAATATGTTTACTACTAGCGTATTGACGGATACAGCTAAGTTGTTAGATTAAAGTTCTTTGAGGTTAGTACCAAAGACGAAAGCCAACTGAATGATTTGTCTAGCAATGAGTAATGATTCTGTGCCACAAGCCTTTGTTCAAAGGACGCAGGCTTAATCGTGCCACCTTGTGCGGTTGATTGAAAGAGTTTGATCGTGCCTCGTTGGTTTGATTGAGCTTGTGTTATTGTGCTAGGTTCAGACACTTATACCTGTGTCGCGGCTCGTTAGCTCATTTCTGACGGGTTGGTTAGTGGGTCTTAGACTCGACCCACCGATACAGACTAGTGTCTGTTCCTAGTACTATACTTGTGGTATAGTACTAGTACTATTTATATATACCGCGCCGCTCCCCATTTGCTTTTAATGTTGCCGACGTGGGCCAAAAAAAAAGCCAGAGTATTTTTAGCGGTCAATAGAGACGTCGAGGTAAGCATGTTGAATCCAAACTGCAGTTGAACGCAACTTTAGGTGGGGCGCCAACTACAAAGCTCGACCACTCGTGTTATTCCTAGCCACGAATTCGCTTATCCCAAGGAACCATTTTCCTTTAATCTAACGACCATATGCTGTCTTTATGTTCCGTGGTATTTGCAAATCCTAGGAGTTTTTCTTCACTTATAGAGATAACAATTCTTTATTCACCACTCTGGACCACTTTTTTTATATTTCTTTGCCTCATAAGCATCTTTGGGAATAGAGTAAGAACATTCTCCATTTAGAGTTATGAGATTAGACCGCATTGATTGACAACCCCCATCATCAAAGGTTACTTAATACCTCTTTCTCTTGACTTTTCTAATTGAACCCTTGTACTTTTTACTTTAGCGTGGGTTTACGAATGATTTGGACTCGCTCGCGTTGAGATTCGCGGAACTTATGAATATTACCATCTCAGAGTCGGTCTTAGGCTCACTGAAAAAGTTTTCGAAATTTAAATGTTATTGTGTTTAATTAAGCTAAACTAAATTGTTAAAATTTGTTAACTTGCTTAACTTAGCCATCTCTACGCCTTAGTATTAGGCTTCACAATCTATTTCACTCCCTTAGGACTCTCTTTCACATGTACTTCACAGTAGTTTTGCATATCCCTGTTCTTTTGTCCTATCAGGGTACCTCCTTTGTCATTTTTCCCACCCACATTTTTTTTGGAAGCATCTGTTGCATTCCTAATGCTTAATCTCCCGCTGGGCCTCGTAGCCAACATTTTAATGTATTGCATTGATGGGTTTGTAGTGTATCATAAAATAAATTAATGGATGTTAAAAGTGCACAAGTAAACTCAATCTGTTAGATTCCCCAGCACGTCAAAGAGTAGGTTTCCAATAATATTGAACGCCATAAAACATTTTTTTAAATGGTTTTCTGGCAACAAAGTTGAAAGTTCTATAGCAGTTTCCGCTAACGTGTATAGCAGGAAGCCGTTATTGCAAAGGTTTCCTTTTGAAGGTCGTGGAATTAAAGCGTGGTCCTTAATCATCTAAGTTTTGTGATATTTTCAGCGAACTTTATACTTGCGACCCAGAATTTATTTGAAACTTTAGACCCGAGTAGCATTGTTTAGCCATTTCCTCTTAAAAGACAGTTAAACATCCCTACATCGGGGCTCTGGAAATATGTGTCGGGTGAACAAAATTCCTCTTATACTACACAAACCCTTTTACCCATTCAAGTTGAGCAAGAGTTACTTTCGACCTACTTTAGACCTGATTAAGTAGTTTTATAATAATAATAGAAGGTAAGGCATTTCTAACATTAACGCAACATGGATGCCTATTCAAGTAAGGTAAGCAATACACTTCTACTACTAATATATATTTTTAAATCGACTTTCTTAACAAGCAAAAAAGATAGAGTAGAACTTCAACAAGCTTATATAATAGGAGTAAGTAACATCTTGATGTTAATGTTTTTTTTCTTATATAGCGGGGTTACCTAACAATAAGTACACATAATTTCCGAATCTCAAATTTGTTTTTTTAAACAGTATGACTAAAAAGATAGTTAGTATAAATATATTTATTCAACACTAAAATAATTATATATGTAATAAACAAAACTATTAATTATATTCCAAGCTTACTACTATACAAAACACCAAGCCGACACCCGCGACGAGTAATCAAGTATAAAAATGAGAGCCTCATATATTATCTTTTGAAAACACTACTAATAAAAATTGCTTTTAGTAACAGAAAGGCACTCGCTCTCGTCGAGATGAAAGTTAAAATTTTTTTTAATTTTTATTTTTTATGTAAAATGCTTAAAAAAGAATCTTCATCAACCGCACAACTACAAACATTTTAAAGATCTATAAATGGCTCCAGCTAACCCTTAAAGTACTGTAAGTGGATTGGACAACGAATAACGAGGCGACCACTGACTCAGTACATTTTTTACCGACGTAACTATTGGTGGTATGATTTACGTGCAAATTTTTATTAAAAATAATTGAAAACGGTGACGGTATAAAAAAAGTAATTTTCTATGGAGCTCAAGTATTGTAGAAGATAATGAGAGATCTTCTTTTGGAAGGTTCAGAAGAAAATACTCTAATATATGAAACCGAACTTTTAGGTTACAAGAAAAGTTATATAAATACATAAATATTCAAAATTATAACTAATAGTAGGCATATTTGATTCAAAAGCTTGCTGTAAACACCATCTTCTTGTCGGTCTTTGTGTAACTGTATATTTGACTGCAGCGACGCTTCTTCCGTTGAGTTTAAAATTTTTGTACTCTAGTTTTAACTACCCTGTCTTTTTGACTTACGTGCAGCTCACCTTTTCTTGGGTAAGAACACTGGCTTCGCGTATATATTTTTTATTTCTTAAAAACTCAACCGGGAAGTTATTTTCTTTTTTTTTTTTTTAGGTCTTTATATTGTTAATCCTTTTTATAAAATTCGCAACAAAGTTTTTTCGGTTATTATTATATCATTTTTACTATTAATTTTATTTTTGTCGTTAATTTATTTCATCTATTTTTTCTTATTTTAGGCAGAAAATAAAAAAAATTGATTGGACAGGCTGGCTTTTTGATCGTTGGCTGCTATATAAATTGTTAATAAGTATAAAATTTAGTTTCTTTTTCTATGCTAGTTAAACTCATACTAGGAAAAAAACTTCTTTGGTCGGTTTTCTTTTTGGTCTTAGGTTTATCTTAGCTAATGTTGGCTTGTCATTAGTTGATCCAGACGTGCATTTTCTTCTCCAGTCTTCTGGTGTACGTTTTTCTTCTTACTTTCACTAAGTTAATAAGAAATTTAAAGTATAATAGCTTTTATAGTAGAGAATTTAAGCTTTGTAGTAGTTGGGTATTGTCTTAACATCAGGTGTGCTTCTGGTATCGTATTTATTTGTAGTAAATTTTCACACTTTTTTAAATTGCCAATACCTAAAAACTTATATTTTAAGCTAAACTAAAGTTTATATTATAAAAGTTTTAAAAAGATTTCGAACAAATAATTTGAAGTTATTAAGTACTAAAAGTTAGGAATATAACCGTGTTATTTTATTGGAAAAAGTAACTGAAAGCTATATCGTTTAAAAGTTATTTAATTTTTATTAAGCAATGTTTATAGGAAAAGTTAAACTTAACGAAACATTAAAGATTTCGATCGTCATGACTAATTTTAATTTTTAAGATTTTTTTATAAATTACTTATTCAGATGTTTTGGGCGATGTTGTTTTCCGCAATCTTAAATAACGAAAAACCAGATTTATACGAATTATTTTGTTGCTTGTGTAAAAAATTATATTAACCTTTTAGCTTGTCTATATTTTTTCTTTATATCATATTTATTCCATACTATTTTGCTGACGTAAACTTTTACATATTCAGTTATCCTATTTATTGTTATTAATTTTCAATTTACTATATTTTCATTTTTTTATTATTTTTTAGTATTAGTCTATTTAGCTATTGTTTGTTCTACTTTCGTTTTTTTATAATTTTAAAATCACTAGAATCTGCAATCCTTTTTATATTATTTAAAAACTTTTTTTTAACTCCTTTTATTACTCCTTTATATATCTATTTATTTTATTTATTTTTATTATTTTACGTAAATATATACAAAAAATAATTTTTAAGAATTATTAAGATATTTTTTATTATGCTTAATAATAGTTACTGTAATTGGTTCTGCGATGATTTCTTTGAATTTTATGTTTAAAGAAAACAGAATTATTGGGTTATTAATAAATTTAGTTTCTGCTGTGGTGGAAGGTAGCTTATTTTGATATATTTAACTTTTAATAACGAAGTGTGACTCGCACTCTATTATTTTAAGATAACCTAATATGGAGCATTGCTATTTGTTAATAATGTTTAGTTTATCTACTTCTGTGTATCTTTAACCCCTTTATATCTTATTAAAACTTCATATAATAAAGCTTAACTTTTTATTTGTAGTTTTTATTATTTTAAAATGATTTTTCATATTTTTGTTAAGTTTATTTCATAACTTTTTAGAATATTGATTTATATAAAGATCTTATAACTTTAATAAGTTTTTTATATTATTTACTTATCACTATGATTATTATAATAATTAAAAATATTATTTCTTATATTTATATATATTCTCCCCTTATTTTTATGCTTTAACTTTTTGCATCTGTTGAAAATTATTTAATATTTTTTGCTTTACTCTAATTAATACTATTAATAATGAATTTTTATTATCAGTGAACTTGACTTCAACAGTTTATATATTAAGCTAATTAATTCTAGTTTTTTGTTTTTTAATATTTTTTTCTTTACTAAAGTTAATAATACTTTAAATAATAAATTTATATAATTATTAGACTTGACGTTAACATTTTATATATTAAGCTTATTTATTAGTTCTTGCAGTTTTTCGTTTATGTATTTATAGTTACAACACTCACTATTTTTCTTGCGGTTATTTTTGTTGAGTATTATTTTTGCTTCACAATTTTTAATAACCGTTTGTTGAGTTTTACTATTATAAATTTTTTTATGTTAGACAAAATTATAATGATGACGTTTTATATATTAATTTTGTTTGTTAAAAATTCTATATTTTCTTCTAAAGGTTTGACAGTGGTCACTTTGCGAGCAGCCGCTCTAAAACTGGTTGTTACTGATAAAAAAGATCTTAAATTACGCCCATCAGAAGTACAATACAACTTTTTTTGTCATATATTTTATCAGTGCAGTGCTTATTTATTTTCTTTTAACTTATATTATTTCTACTTTATTAAAAAAAATCAAAATTTAATTAATTAATGAAAAAAAGTTCACAGCGCTTAAACTTTTTGTTTCCTCGTTGGTTGTTTTGCCTTTTTTTCTTCTACTGGACGCCTCGCCTGAGTTTCTTTACGTACGAGATTTTTATAAATCTTTTCTTTCCCTTATAGTTTTTGCATAAAAGCAGTTTTTATAGAAATTTTTTAAAGACTTTTATAATTATTTCTTGAAATGAACACGAGGATTCAAAATTATTTATTTTTTTTATTTTTTATATTTTTATTTTGAAACTTTAATTTAAAGCAAAATTCTTAAGCTTGTTTTTTGTTAGTTTTTTAAAGTAATCAGTGCTTTTTTTAAAATCTTAAATCTTGAAATTATTTATTTAGCTTTTTTTGCATTATTTTTTTCTTCGAATTTTTTTAATTGTTCTAAAAAACCATCTGATAAAGATTATAAATTTTTAATAGTCAACTAAATTTTCAATTTTAAATAATTATTTAATTTGATAAAGCTTTTTATTTAAATCTTTTTTATTTTTTAGAAAATAATCAAATTTTAGTTTTTTATAAAGTTCTTGTAATACGCGCCTTAGTAAATTATATTTTTACTTTAATAACTATAAAATTATTGTTTTTCATTTTTTTTTTTTAATTTTTTAATAAGAACTTTTAATTTTTGCTTTTTTAGTTAATTTACGTTAAAAAATTCGTAGAAGTTTTTTCATAATTTTTTTCGAATTCCTTTTTATAAATTTGATTAGGTTAACTTTTTTTTTGTTTAAATCTTTTGTTAAAGTAATTGGTGAGATTTCTATTAAAAAATATTTTATGTAATTAATTTTCATTAATTTTTTATGAACTGCAGAGTTGACTTCATACTAAATTTGTTATAAATGAAATTTAATTAATTTTTTGTTTAAATTTACTTAAAGATCAACTTTTTTCTTTCAGCTTCACATTTTGGAGTTATTATAATTTAAATCTTGTCCCTTCTTTGAAATTTTATTATTGTAGTAAAAATTAATTAATTTTATTATAAAATTGTTAATTTAAAAAGTTTTTAAGTTTAATTATTTTTTAAATTTCTTTAATAGGAATCTTTTCTAAGCCGTCATCAAACTTATCTTGTAACTGCTCTGCGAAATTTGAATCTTCTTGAATGGACTTTGATTATAACTGCATCGTTCTTAACGTTTATATTCCAGTTCAACTTTACTTGCTTTGCTAGTTTGTGCGATTCAGTTACTTTGAGCCTCGTTGGAGATCTTAAAATGTATTTTTTTTTTACTTTTTTGGATTTTATTTATAATTAATTATTATTAAAGCAGAATATTTTTTTATTTTAAGATTTTAAATTTAATTTATTAAACTTTTATTTTTTTTATAAGTAAATTATATATACAAGTGAAAATAAATTTTTTTAGAATGAGATTATAAAATGTTTGCTATACTTTTATAAAAACCAATCCATTGTAGTGAAATTCTTTTATTTATTTATTGAGATCTTTAAATTAATTTATTATAATTAAATTTTTTATTATATTAATATAATTATAAATTTAAGTGAAAATTTATTTTTTGAGATTGCACTCTTAAATTATTTGTTGTACTTTTTTTTTAATTTGAGTTTTCACTGAAAAAATTATTTTTTAGATTGACTTATACTTAAATAATTATCTTTTAATAATTAATAATTTATTAAATTCATTTGAAAATATATTTTTTTTAAATTGAGATCTATAAATTTTACTTTTATATAATTTAATTTTTAATCTTATATTGCATTTTTTATACTTTTATTGAATCTGATTACAGACGATTACAGATTTAAAGTATTTAATTAATATTTTTTTTAAAATTTTATTATAAATAATTTTTTAATTAGTGGATTTTGAAAAGTATTTTTTTAAAACTTTTATAATCTAATTATTTTACTTCCATTCAATTTATTTTTATTAAATTTTTTCTATTCAAAATATTCAAGTACCGAAAATATTATTTTTCGTAGTTGAAGAATTTAACTCAAATGTACGATTATATAATTTAATTGAATAAAATTTATTATAATAAAATGATTTACAGTTTAAGTAAATATATTTATTTATTAGATTTTAAAATGTATATTATATATCGTTTAATTTATTTTTTAATAGAAATATAAAATAATAAATTTTTATCATAGAAATATTTTTTCAGACATTTGTCTTTTTATAAAATTTAATTTAATTTTTTAAATGCGAATTTAATGAAATTAGTTTAGTAGATTGTTGTAGAGATTGCTTGATAATTATTTTTGTTATCATATTTTTATTAAACTTTTTTTAAGATAATATTTGAAAAGCTAATTTTAGAATTTTTTTTAATATTTTTTAAAAAGATTTCTATTCAATTCAGTTTTTTTGCTTTTTATTTTTTACTTTCATATTTTTTTTTATTTTATTTTATTATTTATTTCATTATTTATACTTATTCTAAAAATTAAAGTTTATATTAAATTTTGTATTTCTTAATAAATTTTTTAATTTTTACTACTTTTACTACCTCTTTGATACTATTTGTTTTTTCAAATTTAAAGTTTACTTATAAATTTTTAATTTATAAAGTTTTTGCTTAACTTTTAGTAATTTTATTATTTTTATAAATATAAATTATTAAACTTTTATTATTATATTTAAAAAACCAAGGAGCTAAATTAAAAAATTAATTTTTAGTTTTTTTGTTTAACTTATATTATTGGATTTGCATAGTTTTTCAATATTCTTGATTTTTACTTCTTTTACTGTATTTATAATATTTTTTAGGTTTATAAAAAAATTTAATACTCGATTAAAAAGGTCTAGAAATTGAATTTATAAGATTAATTTTTTCTTGCATTACTATTAAATTTGACAGTTCATTCAACGTTCTCTTAATATTTTTCTTATAAAATTTATTATAAATTTTTTAAGATTGCCGCAAGTTTTGTTCAGCGCTCTTCTTTTTCGCAATTTTAACTTTTCGCTACTCCATCTTATTGGCTGCATCTCGGTTTGTTTGGCGAGCGTCTCGTATGCTTTACTGAAACACACGAAGCTCTTGGCTTCTTCTTATAATGAAGAATCCACCGATAAGCAGTTGTTTATATCAATAAAAGAACTGTTAACATAGAAAACAGTTTTATAAATTTTAAAGGGTATTGATTTTTTGGCAAAGGGTTTATTACATAAGCGTACAAAATTGTTACAGCTTTGAATTTTATTTACTAAATTTACTTTGAATTCTTATTATTCCTGTTTATTAAAATATAAATTGTTAATTAAAGGTATTTAAATTTATTAAAAAATCTTTTTCCTTTAGTATAAGTTAAACGTTTCTGAAGATGATTTTCTATCTCCTTAAATTAGTAAAAATAGTGTTTTTATAACTTTTTACCATAAAGCGAGTAGTATTGAGGTGCAAAAATATCAAGACTAAAGTTAATCTGAACTTGGAATTTAATAGTTTTGATTCTGCAAAAGTACAAAAAAGGTTAAATATAAATTTTTTTTTCCTAATGATAAAATATTTTCTCTTTACCAGTGACACTTTGCCGTTAAGTGACTAATTCTATCCTTCAAGTATTTTTCTGTCGTAATAAGTCCTAAGTCACCAATATGGTGAACTCACAGCATACATTCAGGCAATTTTATATGAATTAATCTAATCTAAATTCTTCAAAGACTTGCAAAATTCACTAGTTGTGTTCTGGCTGGGTCTCCGTGGTGAATAGTATAATAGAGATATAGAGATATATCTTTGTTTAGTGTTAAATAATTCTTAGTATACTTTATTTGTGACTTCCTGGCTCATACTTAATTATGACATTTTTAATTAGGAGGCAATAGTTTATTCACACTTATCAAAAGTTAAGTTTTTCTTGCACCAAATTAAATACTTCGAGCTAACAGTAATTTATAGAATTTAAACGTGCATGCCTTCATCTGGTTTAAGTTACTTTTTTACGAAAATATATATAATTGATTTTTGAGCCGGTCAATCTAGGAGAACTCTATATTCTATTTTGAGTTTACTAAATTGACAAAAATTTATATATAAAATGATATGCAAGTTGGTCAAAAAAAAAGTAAAAAAATATTGCTAAATTTATATTTTATCATAAAGAAAAACATTCATCAAAACGGTATATTTTTCTGTTCGTAGTTGCCTATACTTTAAAACACAGCTTTATTCAAAATCAAATGTTATACGTTGTAAGTAAAAATATGTTAAACTAACGTTTTTGTCCTTTTTCAAGTATAAGTTTCCCATATATCAAGGGATTTAAACAAGTACAGTAGTTTAGAGTTAACTACAGTTGTAATACATGCAATAATTATAATACGTTAATATTTCAAAGTTTCAGCAAAAGCAAAGAAGTGGGGGCTCAAAAAATTATATAATATAAACTCCTAATAAAGAACTTAGTCGATACCATACTGTTAACTTGGTTTTTTAGCAAAAGTGAGAAGATTGTGACTACGACTTTATATAAGGGTTTTTTGAAAAAAAGTATAGTAATGAAGCAAAAGAAGTAAAAACAAATTAAAAACACTGAACAATCGCTTTTTGTTATAACAGGCTTGTAACTTAACTAAAAGTAAATAATTCTATATAACTGTATAAACGCTATCCTATAAACAACTTTCAAAGTGTTTATTAGATTAAATAAAGTAACACAATATTTACCTTAAATAAACCCACTTTCTCTCATCATACCACAAACAGTTTAACCCACATCGTCATCTTCCTCAGTCCGTTCACTTCCCTCATCATCATCACTATCTTCGCTCTCATCTTCCTCGTCATCTTCCTCCTCAAATTCACTATCCTCTGCACAATCCTCACTTTCTAAGGGCTCTTCACTGTCCTCATCCTCGTTATCAATATCTATAACCTGAGTATTACATTTGTTATCTGTACAATTCTTAGGGCTGCAGGGACTACTTAATGCATCCCGTGCAGAACTGGATAATAAAAGATTTCCCTTACTTAAAAATTCTTTCTTCCCTACAATAACGTCCTCGTTTTCCTTATTATCAAAGCGACCCATGCTAAATTTATTTTCTTCTACAATAAAATCCTCATTCGTATATGAGTTACACGTTTCTGCGTTTTCCTTAATAACAAACTTATTATTTTCAGTATCAGTAATAGTAAGTTCTCCAAATTTAAAGTCAAGTTCATGCAAATTAACTTTATCTTTTGGTTCAACTTTCGTCTTTGCTATTTGCTGAACTCTTGCTCTTACATACTCTTGTCCAGATGCATGGACGCTATTCATTCCTTCTTTTTCACTCTCGCTGCTTGGCATACCCCCACTATTATCTTCGCTTTTATCCTCACTCTCCTGATACAGCAATTGTCCTTTTTTATTATGAATCAGATTCTCCTGCTCCTCATTAGATTCATCAGTACTTTCTTTATTAGCATTACTTCCATAAAAGCGACTCCCAACCACTAGTTTTTCTCTATTTTTCACTGTTTTTTCAATTTTGCTTTCTTCATTTGCATAACTAAATATATCATCTCGCTCCCCATCAGATCCTTTATAACGTTCTTTTTTGACATCATCACTCTCATTCGCACAAACTTTTCCTTTTTTATAAAGATCCTCATCCGGCTCATCAGTGCCCTCTTCTCTTCTATTATTACCTTCAAAGAAGCTGTTCATCCAAGCTTTTCCTTCCCTATGCACTATCTTTCCTTTATTTTTCATTCCCTTTTCTTCTTCACTTTTCCGAGACCGCACTTCAGTGTAACTATTCACATCTGAATCATAATTTGGCTCGTCAGTGTTCTTTTTTTCAACACCGCTATCATCTTCCTCGCATGTTATATAAGCATTCTTTCTCAAATTATTTATTCTTCCACGATCTTCAATGTGTCCTTTTACAAAGTCGGTGCTCTCATTTAGTTGTAATAAAGGCTTTTTAGTAGGAGCGTTATTACTTATATTGCCTCTTTTATCTCTTTTACCTTTACTATAAATTTTTTTACTGCTAACGATTTTCCTTTGGATATTTAAGTTTATAACTTTGTGCACTCGTTCAAAGTTAACCTTTTCCCGTTGTCTTTCATACTTATCTTTATTTTTTTTACAAATGTTATCCTCTTTCCTCTCTGGCTTAATAATTCCTTCTCTTTCCTTTTTTATAAATCTTTTCATTTTGACGTTTTCATGAACTTCCTCGGGCTCTATAGCCTTCTTTTTTTCTCGTAAAAAGAGTTGCTGTGATTTAGTAGAGTTATTTATACTCTCTTTATCACTCTGAATTTTAACACTTCCTTGAGAACCAATCACTTCATCTTTGCTACTTACGCCGATATACACAGTTTTAAGTTTCTGCTTTTTTCTAAAATTTCTATTCTTTTCCTCTAAATCACGAGCCCAGTTTTCTTGGTTTACTCTAATAACACTTTTTGATTCGTCGTCGTCCTCATATTTGTTGCTAATAACCATTTTCACATTATCTTTCAAGTTATTCTTCTTTAATTTCTCTATCTTCCTTATACTTTCATATTCTTCTACGAAATCTTTAGCGCTGTTCACTTCTTCTTCACTTTCATCTTTAACATCTTTTTCACAACTTACGACGCTCCGTATTTTTCGAGTAACAAGATCAACACGATTCTCGTTTAAAACTCCCTTTTTCCCTTCTCTCTCGTACTCTCCTTCAGACGGTTCAACGCTCTCCTCTCCCACATATATTTTACGGCCAGTTGCCCTCCAGATTTTCCTTTCGTGATTAGCACTTACACTGTTCACCTTCGACCTAATTTTCGAATTAACTTTCTTATTTTTTTCGTTAAACTCAAAATTTTTAATACTTTTCCCGGTTGCTTCGTTCTCACTCTCCTTCTTAACTTCACTATTAACGTTTCTGCGAATGACTCTTTCTATTCCACTAGAATTAATAACATTGGATCTGTTCTTAATTAGCTCCGCTTTTCTAAATCCCTGATAATCTTCCTTAAGGACTCCGAAATTTACTTCACGTTGATCACACGCATACACTTTACGGGGCGCCATCTTTTCTACTTTTCTAGGCTGGCCTTTACTGCTGCTTTCCAACTTTAACAAGTCTTTATTCTTACTTTTTTTAGAATCCCTTTCATAACCATAGCCGCTCTCTTCTTCACTTGTTAACTGTTTTTGATTCTCTCCAGCTTCGCTTACTTCTACCGATCTGAATGATCCTTTATTCTTGTTTTTTTTGATATCTCTTTCATAATTATCGACGCTTTCTTCTTCGCTTGTTAAGTGGTTCTGACTGTCTTCATCTTCACTTACTTCTTCCGAAGTTTCCTCATATGTACTCTTTCTAGTTGATCCTTTACTTTTACTTTTTTCAAAAACTCTTTCAAAATCCCCGACGCTTTCATTTTCGAGCGTTATTTGCCTTTGACTCTCTTCATCCTCGCTTACTTCTTCCGAAGTTTCTTCGCTTTCGTCAATATCAAAAGTGTTCCTTTCATTTGATCTTTCATAATTTCTTTGAACAAATTTCCCTTTATTTTCGTCAACAAGTTCATCTTCACTTCCTTCTTCCGAAGTTTCTTCGCTCTCCTCCTCGCCTCTTAGAGAAAACTTTTTAATACTAATTAGAGGCGGCAAGGATAGCCGCTGTAGTAGCTGGTCTACTTCCGGCATGTGTTCAACTTCTGTCAATAAGTACGAATAATCTTTCGCTTCTAAGTTGAACTGAACGAGAATAAGGCGATCAACGAGGAGATTATAAGATTTCTCTAATATTGCTCGGTATAAGTTTAAATGAAGAGCACACTCGTAGTAACGGCTCTGTGGGTACTTTTCAAAAGGGGGCTTCAGGGTAACAAAATGAATAGGATCAACGCCTGGTTTCGTAATCTTAGTGGATCGTCTCCACTCGACTAAATAGTATCTCCCGTCTCGCCCTCTAGACAGAGCTTTAAAAGATCCCGCAATGTTAACAGAAGGATCAACAATTATGCCTGTCAATTGTAGCATTGCATAGAATAAATATAAATAGAAAAGGATAATAGCTAACCATCAAAAGCTACAGGAGAATGGAATATCCCCGTAATATTATGAAACCAAAAGTTTAAAAACTGCTTGTAGCCATGAAAGATAGACTTTTTAAGGATGGGCGGTAAAGAAAGTTTAGAAAAGGTATCGATGTCGCCGGGTTTTAACCCAGAGCCTAAGAGGGAAAAATAATAATATAAAATTGGTTTAAACAAAACATAACAAATATAAACTCTGATTACTTAAACACTTGTTATAGGTGGTAATCCACTTTAAAAACCTTTTTATAACTTTATTAAGCTCTATCTCATCCAACCGAGATGACTTCCAAAGATCCTTAATCTAAATATAAAAAGTAAACACAAAAGAACTGAAAAAAGGATAAGGAAAGAAGCTTGTTGAGGTTTAAGCCCATAATAAGGAGATGTTAGAGTATTCTGCCAAGTGTGATAATTTTTGCGAATAATTAAATTTTCATCAAAAAGAAGATTGCTAAAACCCTTAGTAAAATCTGAAACAGAATTCATTGCCCTATCGTCATAATAGTAAGAGTGCCTCTCTTCATCATAATGAACTAATCCGGGCTTAACACGACATGATGGTGTTTTGAAAACGTTATATCCTACCTCAGATGTCATGTTAAACCGCTAATAAACAAGCAACCAGTAAATCAGCAAAGCCATTTGAATATATCTCGCAATCAAGACAATCTTTGAATTTTAAAATCTCAAAGTAAAAAGTAATTGGTTAAAAAAAATTACTAAATTCCTCGTCTGCGCAAAAGTTTTTATAAAAAGATCAAAAAATTATTTTGTTAGGTTAAATAATTAGTTCAACATATATGTAAATCAAAAAAAATTTTTTTTGTATTATTAAATAAAACTATGATAAATTTTTTTCTCTTATGCATGTTAACTTAAGCTTGACATGTTATACCTTAAATTAGGTATCCTAAAGGTTTTATGATTGTTAGTATAGCTGGTAACTATATTTATAAGCAATAAGAAATAAATGATTAAAGGTTAGCCTAAGAAATGAAAGTACTTAAAAAATATGAGTTTTTATATATATTACAACTAACTTTAGAACCAAGTTACAATATATTATTTGTAGTCAAGAAGTCTTTTTTTCCTATCGCGCGGTTGCAGGTGGTCTTCTTCGTACTTTGTGTAGCGCCACTGGGCTAGAGATATTAATAAGTTGTAATACATAGGTTTTTGTACTGAATAATCTTTAATTATACTTCGCTCACTATCGTAGATAGTGTCAGTCTACCAAAATAACCTATGTAACAAAGTTGAGGTAGTAAATTTCTGTTTCTCCTCACATTGGAACAAGTTTATAGGAGGCCCACAATTTTTCCTATACATAGTAGGCTCCGCGGGCCTAGGAGTATGTATATTTAGATCAAGGAAAGAGCCAATAGTAAGTTATACCATTTAAAAATGGTTATATTCTAATTTTTAATATCCCCTCATAATTTTATTTTAGAGAGGTAAACACACCCCCCGTGTGGCAAGAATAAACAAAATTTTTAGTAACGCTTACTGCGACGCTCTCTCGTAAGTTTACTAACTTTACTAACACCCACTCTGTTGGATGCTGCATTCGAAACTTACAAAATCGCCCAAGTGTTATCGACGCTTCTATAACTTAGTCTTATCGTCGATAATTCCATGATCGTTTGCAGGGTTTCTAAAAAATCTTTTATGAGAGAACCGCTAAAAGCTTCGTTGCCGCTAAGCCTAACTTAAGCTAGACCATCTTCACAGTAGCAACAGAGAAAACTAATTGCCCTCCATAACAACCGCGGGGAAGCGACTCTTAGACGGCGCGACCTTTCTTGAATCCCAACCTCTATCACCTGCTCAGCATGCTTTTCGTAGTGGTAAAACTGTCGAGATCGTTGTGCGGCGCCGAAAGTAGAGGGGTGATGTATCTCTGTAATTCTAGCCTGAATTTAGATTTTGGCCACATCACCACACAGTAGCTCCTGGATCTTGCTAAAAAAGATAATATGTGGCTTCCACTTTAAATAAACAACAGAAGGCTTTTACAAGTCGCTTTCGTGAGCCGTCCCTCCTGCTCTCTTCAACAATCTAGACTTATTTTTCAGCGATCACACCCTTTAAGCTTAAACCAGCAAATACTCCGTGGTCACTATTCCCTCACAAGCGCTTCTGTGTGCAACGTAGATGTCCTTGCTCGATATGTTATTATAAACTGCCTACGCTTCTCCAACAAGGGCACTAATCACCGTGGCAGGGTTGTTGTTACATCAAAACCAATTACTGTGACTGTTATTGATGACCGGTCCACCGTACATTGGACAACTTGAAGATTACTTTCAATGCGCAATAGTCACTCCGGGCCCTTACTAAATGACGAGATTCATATACGAACCCTGGAACGGCTCGCGTTACCGCTACCCTTGCGACGCGGTTGTGAATAACAGGCAATACGTATAACCCTCATACCGGGATCGAGGGTGACGTCATAGCCCAGCGGTTATAGGAGCATCGTCTCGCAAACTCAAGACCCTGGGCTCTTTTTCGGTCTCTGATAGTCGCATGCCTAACCTCGCCCTCAACTTCTAAAGTAAGCGTTTTCGTACAGAACTGGATATGCTGTACACAAGAAAAATTTTAGACCGTTCAAGTTAAGCTATTTAATTCTCGAGAATGCCAAGCATCTGCAAAAGTCATTATTAACAATAACTAATTCTTAAATTAATTTGCTCTATGAAAAACCTCGTATTTCAAATATTTCGGGTGTTATGCCTCTTTATGCCATCGTCTATTATGAAGTATATGCAATTTTTTTTTTACTATTTTCAATTATTGAAGAAAAAAGTTTTATTTCTTAAATTAGAACTTTTACGCCTCACAACGTACACTAACCACACCAATAAACAAGAAATTTTGAATACTAGTAACTTATATAATACCTTTTGTTGCTTTACAGTTCAAAGCACAGCTTCTCAACTATGATTTAGAAAATTTGACCTTATCTTAAGAATTTTTAAATGATAGTTATAATCCCTGATGCGTAGTTCACGACTATTAATCCTTAGATTTTGCGAGAACGACTTCAGTTTTATTAACCTGCATTTACTCCTGCACTAATGTCTGTGTCAAAGCAGATGGGCAGTTTATAGAACTACCTATACTCCTTATTTGTTTTTACCCTATTATTATTAGCTTACAAATGATCAATTATGTTTTAAGATAAAAAACTACGACTTTTTTTCATAGGTAGTTGTAGGCAGTCATAGCTAAATTTTCACTGCAGAACCCCGAGGCCGAATATAAAAAGAGAATTGCACAAAAATGCGGAATAAAAGTACAGAACCGTTTGAATAAATTTTTTAGTTATAGTGTTATATTTACTAAATAGTGTGACCCATTTTTATTGTTTTAGAATTTTTTTTTTGGGTACAGTAGGATTAATCTAGTTTCGACATCCTGTTTGCTCTATCTATACTTAATATTACGGTCAAAAAGATCCCATAGCCTTTCTATAAAGTTTCTATTTAAAAAATTATTTAACCAGTTTATAATTGCACTTTTTTTTTAAAACAAAAGCTAATTCGCTTCTGAAGATATGTGCCCGGCCCACTATTTTTCTAATAATAAAACAAAAATATAATTATATATATTTCAGTGTTAAAGAAAATAAAAGAAAAATAGTTTTTAGTAATGGTCGCTTCGCTATAGAACAATGGAGTGGATTAGTGCTGTACATCTTTGTCTTGCGTTAGATGTGCTTTCACTTTAACACAAAAACTTATAATAAATAATAAAAGTCAACTAAATTGTATATTAAAGAAAGAAATCAAGCTAATAACCCAAATAAGATAGACTCTAGTAATAAGCTAAGTTTAATACTTAGCAATATATCGGTATCAAAAGTAAAAAATATAACTAGTCAAAAAAAGATATTTTTTTAAAGGGTTTAGTAAATCTGATTAACCCCTTTACAAAAAACGCCCTTTTTCCTAAGTTTAAAGTATCTTAAAGTTTTTCAAGGGTTCAAGTCTCGATGATTCCTAAGCCTATTAAGACCTCAAGAGGATTACCAGCATAGCCGTTTAGTTTCTTTTTGTTTATTTTAACTTAATGTTTGTGCCTTCTAACGACTTTAAAAATCTTAGTTTTAAGGGGCACACTTTGGCGTTGGTAATCATTCTTAATCTTTAACATTATATATTAATAGCATAATAAATTAAACGTAAAGCCTGCCGTTTCTATTGGAAATGTCGGACAGCTCTGTATCGATCTTCATATCTCAACGTTGCTTTCAGAAATTAAATTTGCAGGCTTCTTTCATTCTCCTTACGTCCTACCCTTTTGCGGCCCAAACGCCTTTAAAGAGGATGGGAACTTCCCTTTAACGACACCAATACAAGGTTCCTTTTTATAGTATTACACTTTTTATTTTACAAACTCTTTGCTTAGTGTATTCTTTAATTGAGGAAAAAATTATATTTCTGCAAATGCGTTCCTCCGTAATTACCGTAAATTTTTTCATAAAAAACAATTATAAAAGAGAATAACATAATATTTAAATAGCCTTTTCGTAAAGAATTTGTACAGCAACTTTTAGAATGGTTTCAAAGTGAGGAAATGGAAAAGCTTATTTTGCTTAGTAGCAGTGATCTCGGCAATTATCTTCAAGAACGATTGCTTCAGTCACCTTTTCGTTGTCTTTGTTCTGCTTCTTTCACAAAGTCATTAGGTTTTTAAAATATTCTTATAGTTTAATATATACATATTTATAATTAAAATTTTTTATTAGGAGCTAAGTCTTCTCTGCTTAAAAATTTCTGGCCCGACTTAAAGGAAGATAACTTTTTTACCGAAATTAATCAATATAAGAATTCTCGGCTTCCCTTTTCAATAGGCATACTTTTGTACACAATCAGTTTTTCTCATTCAGATTTTTGATTGATAAGGAGGAATCACAAGAACTTTATATGAGGAATGTGAGAAAAAAAATCTTTCCCTAGTAATCCTGGTACTTTGCTTCCTTCTATATAAACTTTTCAAATGAAATAAGTACTTCTGTTACACTATACGCAAAACTTTTAAGTACTATAAGATTATAAAAAATTAAATTCATAAAATATTAAATGAGTTCAACTTTTTTAATGCGCCTTGCTGTTACGAATATCGTGGATCAAAATTTATATGTTTTTCTCAAGTTCTTTTGAAGTTATTTTTTCTACTAAATATTTTTATAATTTTGATTTTTTAACGCAGATCATGTTCTGCGCCGAAGGAGACAATGCCAGTGAAGCTTTTCGATTTGCCCAGCAAATGGATGCGTGGCTCGAGCTGAGACGCAAGTATCAGCGCAAGAACCGACCTTTGGCTGAATGGAACGCGCCGATATCGTGGACGGCCTTCTACGGGAGCGCCGCCTCCGAAATTATATACTGAGATGCTAAAGGAAATCTCCACTTCATAAATGAATCTCAATCTTGTTTATTTTAAAAAGCAAAGTACACCAATAGTAAGCCAGCGAGCACCACGGCCAAGAAAATCATGATTGCTGTTTGTTTTCCTCCTGCAATAATAAATTAATTTCAAATTAATGAATTTTTTTTCGACGCCAACCGTTGATCTTTCCAATAACTCGATCGACTTTCTTAATCACGTTGTCTAATTGAGATTCGGTATTTTCTATGGTCGACGATAAGTCATCCAGCAATCTTAATAAATAAAAAAAAATAAATAATTTTTATTTTTTTTTTCAGTTTTAGAATAATTTAAATTTTTCTTTTAAACCTGTCGTGCTCTGCTAAAGCCCTGTTTGTTTCTTGAGCAATGCTGTGTATATTCTCGATAGTTGTGCTAATTTCTTCCAAGTCCTGATCCTGTTGAGCCATTATTTTCTATTATATAAATTTTTTTAATATAACATTTTTTTTAAAAAAATTTTATATAAAAACTTGATGTCGATTTTTATAGTCGTTAATTACTGCCTGATTTTGGAATTCAAATTCACTTTGAGGATTCTTGTAACCGTTACTCACTTTAAAGATATAATTATAATTTTTAAAATTGAGATAATTAAATAAAAATTTGTTTTAAGTCCTGAATTTTTAAAAAAATTAAAATTTTTAAAAATCTTTTAAATATATTTAACTTTTTATATAAGTGCCAAAATTTACTTTTTTTTAAAGTAGTGGGATTCGAAGATTGGATTAACATTCTTTTCCTGCAGACTTCTAGTTTTGCGCTGGAAACAATGAGTTACATAAAACCGTGAGACAGAAATTTAATTTGATATATAATTTATAACCTAATTAAAATAAAGCCAAAAGTCTTAAAAATTAATACAAATTTCTGTACTAAAATTTAGTATATGATATTAGAAGAACAGATTGTAATATTCGTGCAAAAAGTGACAAATATTTAAACTAGAAAATTTAATTTTCCAAAAAACATTTTTGTTCGGCCAATATTATTTTTTTATAAAACTTATTTTTGCATATCAGCTAAAAACCAATACTACGAAACTTTGTCGCTTCGCTGGTGAGTTCTTTTTCAATGACTTGCGCTAATTTTTTGACATCATTAACAAACTTTTTTCGTTCATCTAAAGAAAGCAAATTTATTTATACTTGCCGATTAATTTAATTGAAAATTTGACATGAAAACTATTTTTAGAAAATTTCCAATAAAATTTGCAAAGTTTATAATATTTGTCCAATAGGCCTAAAAATACCTTTCCTTTGCTTGTTATCTTTTACAGCGAAATCTAATTTATATCGTTAACTTTAAAATATATTAAAAATAGAATTTTTCGCTTTTAAACAAGTTAAAACAACTATTGAGACTTTAAAAATAATTAGCATCTTTACTGTAGTCAAGAAATTTACAAGGTGTTAAAGAAAAACAAGAAAAAAAAAAATTTAAATAATTTCCTTAAAAGGGATAATTACCGGGATAAAGAAACAAACGAAAAAAACATGTTCAATATATTATTAAAGGGTTTTAAAAAGTGAAGATAAATCAAACACAAAACCTAACTTAGATCAGAAGCGGTTAGTATAAAGTTATCAGGATGTTTTTCAGCTATTGTTATAGTTTCCTCTAAGTCAGTAAGATACTCTAAAAGCATATTTTTGTATTTATTTTTACAATAAGCATAAACTGTTTTTACTTTAAACATCAACGATCTTTCAATACCTTCAATCGTTATTGTTTTTTCCCGCATTTCTCTAACCATCTCCAGAATTTCGCTATCCCAAGTTGGGTTAACGTCTTTTATAATATTTTGAAAGTTTTGATACAATTTTAGAAGGTTATCTCTTAGTTCCTCAACATCTCTTTTAGCGGGTAAATATATACTTAAAATCTGAACATGATTAGTTACAAGTTAACAAGAAAGAAAACTGGAAGGTAGTACTCTTTCACAATAAAAAATGGGTCCTCTCGCAACATAAATTAGAAGTTATAAAGTAAAGAGACCCACTTTTAATATTAGTTTTTTATTATATAATGTTCAGTTTACAAATGCAAAAATAGGAATGTTGCTATTATTTTCTCAGGTGAGGGTTTTAGGTATTGACAATATTACTAGAAACTAGATTGGTATAAGGCATATGTCTTAAATACTTTTCTCCACTTATGATGTAACATGACTAAAATAACGATTCTCTTTTAAAAAAAAGATATCGGTAAATTTTAAATGTTAACATGAAAAAAAAAATTAACTTTAAATTCGTGTGAACTAAAATATTAATAAAAACATTATTTTTAAATAAAAAATTGAAATAAAGAAATTATTTTTCTCATAATAAAATCTTTATTCCTTATTTTAAATTTATTTTTATTCCACATTCTTTACTTTTTAAGTTTTTCCTCCTCCTGGCTATTTCGAAAATAAAACGATCTTTTTTTAGCAACTTATTAAAATTTTCCACCAAAAATTAATGGTAGATAACGACTCTCTACTATTTATAATACCATCAAAGCTTGTTCCCATCACGCCAAAAAGTAATCGCCCCCGAATCGGCAGGCAGAAATCATTTATAAAAGTACTGAGCCTAATAAAATTTATTGCTTAGGCTTAAGTAAAACCGTCGACCATCGCATTCCTGCAGATGCAACAAAACAAGCTCATAAGACTAACGACCGGCTCATCTCTTTCGTGCGCAAAGATACGATGCACGAAAACTTGGGTTTGGAACGACTTAGAGCTTTTATCCAAAATGTATCTACTCTTTCATTTAAACGTGTTAGTAGACATATAAACTAGTGGGTTCAAGAAATTACATGCGAGCCCAAGATAGGCGCACGCTTCGGACAACCCTGGCGATGCACTTTAGGCGCACACTGTAAATTTTTACACACGGAGATAGGTTAACCTCCGCAAAATTAACTTTGCTATTAGCAAAACTAAGCAGTCTACGGTCGAATCTAACTTCAGTGCGTGACTCAACCCATCAAGCCACCGATTAACAAGCGCGACTAGATACCACTACACATACAAGAGTAGTAGAACGATTTGCTTTGACAAGAAGAGCGCCGTATCATCTGTTTATAGAAGGTTAGATATAACTAATATACAACAATCTCCTAATACTTAGTAAATTGTATTGACTTTTTTTTTCTGCCTCAAACTACGAGTACTACAGGTCGTGCGAAAAGTACTATAAAATGGACAAGGCATATAGCCTCAAAAATTTTTTCTTTTCAGTCTCTCTCATTTTTTCTCTTTATTTCATATATATGTTTTGTGTATATAGAACGCTAAGAAGAGGAGTGAGAAAAATACCATATGGGGCTCTCGCTGCTGTGATTTTAGAATGTCTGTGCATCGTCTGCACTTGTGCTAATGTGTTTCTTGTCATATAAAATGGGACTCCGGCAAGGCTTTATGAAAGTCAAGCGGCCAAATATAGTGACTTCAGCCACTTTGTGGACTACCGAAAAAAAAATGTTGAATCGGTATACGTTAGACGTAAAAACCTGGAGTGATGCCTGGGCAGTATTACAAAAGCCACCGTCTTACAGTGCAACGAAAATCTTCCAGTTTACAAGGCAACATAGCTGAAACATTGCCACCAGGAAGATTTGATTTAGCATTATATTGATGCAGCAGTGGCCGATTTAACAATATCCTGCATTTCGACCGTGATGACCACTTTAATTAAATCTAAGTGTCAGCGAGGATGCTTTTAGTTATTTTTAGTTATCGTTTCAATAGCAATTGGAGGGTAAATGTCATACTCTGAGGTTAATGACTTCGCCTATGTCGTCTTAAGCTATTAGTTCGCCGTTCACTAAGCTAAATTAAGGACAAACGCTTACTAGTGTCAGAAGAAGGTGCGACCCTTTGACCTTCAATATGGAACTTAAACTTGAATTTCTTTGACAGCTCCTTTCCAATAAGTCGATTTAGTCGACTTATCACTAATTTATTTTCTAAAAGCTTTGAACTGTAAAAAACCTATTTAACAGGCAAGGGGCCATAGTGGTAGGGTAAGCCGTGGTCACAGAACTTTAAATATTGCTGATAGCAATATCTGGTAGAAGCAGATGTCGGCCTGGCGAAGTTAACTAATTCAGCAGTTAAGATTTGGGTTGGTGTCATGTGTCAAGAGGAAATTCTTTCTTAATTAGAATAATTGTGCCCCACTGAACCTTAAAGTTTATCTAAAATAAATTTAGGCTCGCTTATATATCACTTATTTTTTTCATCCTGCAACAACACCTACAGCTCTTGTTATCCTTTGAAAACCATTTGCATTCATTCAAAGAGTGCTCAAGAAACCATTATAAAAGTATGTAATTTAACATCGTTGGCAGGTTTTTCGTCAATATAGCAAGCAGTAGTCGATATCTTCATGGGTGTTGCTATTTGTTTCTGTTGTTGCGGCCGCTTAGAAGTTGTGTTTTTGTTTTAGAGGGCAAAGTACGAATTCTTTGGAGCTACAAAAAGGAGTGAATTGAAAGACAGTAAAATCTTCGCGAATAACTTGTAGTCGCGGTATTTATATTTTGTGTCTCTCCTCAAGTCGAAAATCAGTAGCAAAGATCGAATAGTTTCGCAAGCTGTTTTGTAAGGTGACCCTCATTACTTTTGACGCCAACTTTTTCGAAATTCTTCATATGGAGCATGCAAGTGATAGACAGTCGTCAGTTTTAGGAACTTGCGGTGGGCAATTCTGGGTTTGCGTACCAGGACCAACAGTAGGGAGGTCTTAATAAATTGGTATTCCATGCCCCCAGGAAGAGCGTTAACCTTTATACATAGCAAGTAACCTTCTTTTGAAGGACCACCATCAGAATATATTTTCTCTTGTGCAATGCTTTGTCACGCTTAGGCGCCGTGATGATGCGATAATTCTCGTCCTTTGCTAAAAAAATTAATCTTTAAGTGCACAGTCCTCGATTTCAGAAGCTGCAAGTCGTTTGCTAGCATGACATTCACAGAGTGTGTCACATTTATTTTACGTTAAACGCTTAAGAAATTCTTCCCTTACGAATAGTGACAAAAACACGAGAAAGTAACCGGTCTTCCTCTAGTTTTATGGGTAAATAACCAAGGTGTGCAGTTCATCAGCAAGTCAAAAGTACTTTTTAGTTTTTAATAACTCAACGTAAGTTATTTTATCGTAATATTAGCATTTTTGCAGTACCTGCGAGTGCTATGAATTCTAGTTTTAGTGAAGATAAGGCTTTACCCGCTACTATCCGACTCTTAAGTTACTAGACACCCATCCGCTAATGTCAATGATTCTGATCATGATACTATGGCTCGCTAAGTACCATTTTAGCAACTGGGAAACCTTGAAAGCTATTTTATCTTTTCCGGTGAGATAATTATTACCCAGTCCCTTTATATATTAAAATTTTTAAAAAAATCACCATGTTTTAAATACTTCGACTTTGCAGTTATACCTATAATTACAAATATTACCTCGTAGGCTCATTATATTATTTTTTTTTTGTTAAAATTTAAAACTACTTGTAAACTGGACAAAGTTTTGGTAGCGCAAACGTACCTGCAACATGTGCCCTTGACTTTCCCTCTTATTATTTGTAAAAGAATCTGATTTGGGACTTAAGTAACATTGGCAATTAGTATTTAGCTTTACAAAAAGTTCATTAAAAGGTTTAATAAGATTTAGCTATAACAATTAATATTATATATAATACTCACCTCACCAACTAATTATTCATTGGCTCTAGCTTAAAGTTATTTTTAGTTTTATTATTTCTTTTGTATGCTATGCCTTCTGGTATAAGAGTGACAGCAAGAGGAAAAGGTTTTAATTTAACCTTCGACTATTATATCCTTAAATTTTACTTCTTATCATAGTTAAATTACTGTAATATACTGTGGCACTTTTCGAATGTTAGTCCTTTTTTTTTCATAAACTAGAGGCCCGTGATGCTGGAAATAAGAAGACAAGCCTATCTACTGATGAGGTATAAAAACTAGGATTTTTCTTTTTATATTGATTTTATTTATTACATAACATTTTATCATATTATTTCTAGAAACTATTACTTGATGCCCTCCGAACTCGTGATATTGCTCATTTTTTGAGAAAAAAGTGCTCAACTAAAGAAGGATTTACTGAAAAGAGGCACGTTGAATACTTTAAAGGTTTTTATTAGTAGTTAAAACATTTACGCAACTTATTTTTAAGGTCTGCTTAGGTGTTCGAGCCGCCAAATGTTTGATGAGCAATTATAAAGAAATTTCTAGAAAAAAACATGCTGTCTACATTCTTAATAAGTAATAATTTTTATTTTTTAAGCTCTAAGATTTGTGATAAATATCAAAAAAAAATTTAGTGAAATTTAACAAAATTTGAGGTAAATGATAAGTTTAAGTTATTACGTTTTTACATCTTTGCTCTTGGGAAGGGAAATTCTTCCCGTTACTTTAATGCTTGCAGTGTGTTAAAATTTTTTTAACACGAACTTGTTATCAACAGTAACACCTTCTTTTTACTTTATAAAATAGTTTCACAGTTAGCGCGTGAGCATTTATAAATTAGCTTCCGTTAGACTGCACCACTTTGTAATTCTACACTTAGCTTCAGTTTGTAAAATACATTTTATAACGCTATATCAGCTAGTAAAAATTTATGAGTTGCTGATAAAGTTAGCCTTAAAAACGTAATTAATAACGCTGCATCGAATAATAAAAACTGATTAACAGGTAAAAAGTTAGGTCTGCCTTTCTAACCAAATTATTAACGTCGCTTTAGATAGTAAAGCTCGATTTCTTATTTTAAGCTTCTGGTACAGATGGATTTGTTTGGAATAGCGTTATTTACTTAAAGATTTTCAAAACTGTCTAACGCAGTACGACTAAATACTTCTAACTTATTTAATTTTTTGATTTACAACTTTTTTATGCTTCTAACTTGATAGCGCAGATTTGTGCTAATAGCTTGGGCCATGGCTATATTTATTTTACGTACATATCAAACTATTAGTTTTAATTTATTATAAACATCTTTTTGCTATTACCATTTATTATTAATTGATATATTTAGAGGTATTATTTTTTTTGGATGTTTTGGAATTTAGATTGATTTTCATTTTCCATTTTTTATAAAGTATGGTTATTGTGTTCAGGTATTAATAAGAAAATTTAGACTCTCCTTTCTATTACTGTTTATCCCATTTTCAATGTACAATTATATTAGTTCATGTTATTCACTTCCATTATTTTATATTTACGTAGGCTTTGGCAAATATCATTTTATTCATCCCATTCATAGTATAGTAACTTTAATTCATAAAAATCGTATAATCCTTTTTTAAATAAATCTGGAGTTTAATTTATAACATAGTTTTTTGTGCCAATAAACCTTTTAACTGCTCTTGACGAAAGAACGATTGTAATAAGAGCGTTACAATTTTTCTTTTTAATGAAATTGTTTTTTAGGCGGTTTGGGATATTCATAACTTGTAAATATTTACACGTGAATTTTTATTAGTTTGCCTGATCAAAAATTACAGCATTTCTTTTTCATTTTAAAAAAAGATTACTAGAAGAAAATTTTTATCATAGTGCCGAAAAGATCAAACTTTCTAACGGCAGTAAGGTAAAAGTTAATTTTGTATTAAAATACACGTTGACTTTGAAATATTTTAAAGGAATTGTTTTATATAATCTTGTAAAAGAACCATTCGTAAGTAGATCCTCAGACCGATTTTGAAAAAACAATTTACAGTTGATGATTCTCTCTATATTTGGACTTTTGAAGTTGGCAAGTGGAAACAGTACATGTTAGGTGTGTTGGAAATTTATTTAATGTCTTTGCTGTTAAAGTAAAACTGTTTTCTGCTAGGCGTTGGCATCATTTTAGGATTTATACTTTTCGTTCTTCAACCTCTTTGGCCTCCTTTTATGAAAGAGGGCGCGGTTTACCTGTTTTATGCTACTTTGGGCCTAATTTTGCTTCTGCTTAGCTTGTGCGTCCTCCGCTTGATTCTGTTTGTGGCAATATTTCTTTTAAGCGGTGCTCGAGTGTACTTCTGGTTGTACCCAAATTTGGTTGTGGAAGAGCAATTTTGGGCCTCCTTTGTTCCTTTGTATTCCTTGGAGTGGAGAAAATCTTCTGCTCCCAAGGTAGTGGATGAGTATTCTGAATAAAAGTAAATATACTGTTCACCACAGGACCCTTTTTTTTGGTTTTTAAATTGATCTGCTATTTATGTAAAACATGCTAAAGTGCTTTAAATATTGTTATTGACAGCGCTTCAAAACTATAATGGTATTTCCATTTATTAAGGTTAAGCGCTACTATAAGCAGACTTGATATGAGGTATAGTTAGAATTTTATAGTGGTTTAAGTGTAACGTCAATCAGCGGTTAATATATTTTTTAAATTATCAAGTGAACTACTGCTAAAGGAGTTTACTCCGCAATGTTTACTTTGCGGCCAATCAGCGCTTGGTTAGATTTTCTGCTTCTTAAGAACTAGCAAAATTTCTGAAAATCTTGAAGTCTCAAAATTTCGTTACTAAAAGTCATCAAAGTAAGCAAGCGCCGAGTGTAAAAAATAATACCAGTTTGTTTCTTATTTCTTATAATAAATAAAGCCGAACAGCCATTAAACAATAAATATATTTAATAAAGCATCCTCACCAATAATATAGTTTTCGGTACTTATTTTCTATTTATTTATTAGCTTCACTTGTTAAAACTTAAAGTAGTGAGCCGTGTATCTTGTTACTGCGCAAATCTAACGTCACTTATTTTTTAAAAATTTTAATTAGTTATCTACAACTAGTTTTTCTTTTGTATCCCTTAAGCTCAGAAATAAAGGTGGGTTTCCAAAAATTAACAATAATCCAAGTTGAAATTAAAAAAAGTTATCTTCTTTCTTAAACTTAAACTCCTGAAGGACACTAATGGCTCATTAACCATGAAGCTCTGAGAAGCGTGCATATGGTACCTTCCTGTGCCAGCTCTGATTCGTGAGTGCTATTAATTCATGGATACTAGTAACAGAAAATAAATAAAGAAAGATAGCAGCCATATTCGAACTAGCATTTCGACTTAACCTAAATGTGATTCCTTACTTGTCTTCGAGAAATAGCTGTGTTACGCCAATTCCTTCCTGCAGACGGTTAGTGGCTCGACTAGCCATTCATAGTGGACAACGATTTCACTGCTCCAAGAGTATTTTAGTTTGAACATAGTTTCTAGCGGGTCATAACGTGCACGATATGATGCGCAATACCTTGCTTCGTGCTCTAAAGAGACCAAAACCACGGCCCAGCGGATCGCAGGCCAAACAGTGAACGAGTATGTGAATTTTCTCTATTCGACATTCCGCAGACCACGTGCGTGCTTGTCTTCACAAGTTCTCGTGGCGCCGGAGGTTCAGCGGGCTCCCCGCCTTATTGATAGTCGGTAAGGAATATTATTGGTAGTGCCAAAGCTGACTGAGCATGGAGGACGACTTTAATTGCAGGATAAATCTCCTAAAACATCCACATCTAAACATGCAATGCGAGAAAGGTGTTTATGACTAACACACGCTTTAAGTTAGATATGCGCTGGTACATATCCCTTGGGCGGGCGAAGGTTTAGCCTTGACGCTAAACTAAAAAAATAACTAATTAAAAAGGTTTGTGAAAAGAAAGTTCAAAAAAAAATAACATAAAACAAAGTCTTGTAGTCTTCATTGATACACCACATATATGTTAACATCAAAATGGTTTTTTTTTCCCCCTTCACCTTCACTTTTCCATGGAGGAGAGCTTACGCTCATGAGGGCTGGGCGGGCGGCGATGCAGATTCATCTCCCAAAGGCTTCGAAAGGTGGTCTTTTTGCTCCTTACAGTTTCTACTAATGGAGACGAACACAAAATTGAACGTGTAGACCCGATATTACTTCCTTTTCAGTCCAACAAGATTATATATTTTATGAAAAATAATGCATTTTACTTAATAAATGCCTATACAACAACTACTTCTAGACTATGAGATTATTTTACAATAAATATCAATCAAGACAGTAAAAAAAGGAGAAACAACTTAACTAAAACAATCGATGTATCTCTAGTTATGTGGTCGGGATTAAAATATTATATAATATTATATAAAATATTCAGATTGACTGTGAAACTATATTACATGGAGCATTTCCACAAACATTTGTTTAAATAAAATACGAAAATTTTCATTGGTTTTAAAATCTTAAGTCCTTCAAACCGTTGCAGTATTTTTTTAGGGTAAACACTAACTTATGAAAAACTTTTATATTAGATCTGTGGTTGCAGGCTATTCAAATCAGAAATCTAATTATTACTTTTCCAATAATTTTTCTTTGATAAACCAAATTTACATATGAACTTGATTACCTTTGTTTTTTTAAAGACCTTCCTGTTTAACATTTTAATCGCACGAGAGGTGCACGTTGTAGGCATAAAGTACCTTTTTATTAATAATGGGTGGAAACCGAAGTAGACGAGTGGACATGAGTTCTACGGGTTTCTTTATAACACTTTACTAGTTACTTGTTTTGCATTGTACAGTCTCTTTGTGAAAAAATTTTACTGACGTTATTTTATTGCCTTTTAACTAAAAGATTCACCTTTTCTTATCGGCGTCAGTGGAGGAACTGCCTCCGGAAAGGTTTACAAGTCAATCCAAAATTCTGTGGTTTGAGTATGAAATATGTATTTTTTAGACCACTGTTTGCCGCAAAATTATTGAAGGGCTTGAAAAGAATGATCTGGGTCTTCAATCTGGCGAGGACTTGGCAGTAATAATACACCAAGTACGTTTCAAAAAATTTGATTTTACAATTTTCTTTTTACGCAATTATTCTTTTATATAAAATGAAACCCTAAAGGTCAGCTTTTATAGGCCTATTGACATTGAAAAGGTTGACGTTAATTATTACAACTTTGATAATCCAACTGCATTTGATTTCAAACTCATTGTGCAGGTGCTAATTTTTTTTTTTTTTTAGCAAGTTTTTATATTTTTTATTCTGTAACAGGTTTTATCTGATTTACGCTCCGGTAAAGAGGTTGACGTACCGATTTATGATCAAAAGACTTACACTAGGTCTTAATTTTTTGCTTCAGAAAAGTGCTTTATTTTTCTATTTTTCTTTTTCTTTAAGCAATTATTTATAGAAAAATTTATAGCTAAAATTATTATTTCTAAATCTTACTAAGGACTTACCACTATTTGGTTTATACACCCCTTTTTTATTCTTTTTAACTTAAAAATATTCTGCTAAACTTATTCTTTTATTTTTATGTACAAACATTTTATTTTAAGTTATTACTCAACCTATTTTAATCTTGTTCTTCTCCCTCTCCTCTTTTTAGTGCAGCTTCCATTGAATAATTTTTATAAAATTTCCTAAGCATCCTTGATTTATTGTTCCAATCTTATAGTGAATTAGTAAAACTTCAATAGTATCATTAAAATTCTGAATTTTGTTATAATTTTCCCGCTCGTGCTATTTTTAGAATCTCAACGTTTTTAGGAGTGCAGTTAAGAAATTCATGATTTATACTATTAAGCAGATCTTCCGAGACCTGCCGGGTGTGTCCAAAAAAGATTATTCTTTTTGAAGGGATTCTTTGCTTCGACTGTAAAGAACTTCGCGATTTGTTTCATTTGAAGATCTTTGTCGACTGCGACAACGACACGCGGTTAGCCAAACGAGGTTGAGCCACATGGTTTTTACAAGTTTTTTTTTAATATTTTTTTTAAGTTTTGAGGGACTTAAAGAAACGCAATCGTGATTTAGACAGTATTTTAAAGCAGTACATCGACTTTGTGAAACCTGCTTATGATGATTTCATTCAACCTTCTAAAAAATATGCAGACATTATAATTCCTAGAGGGGCGGATAATTTAGGTGCACTGATAATACTAATTATTATATTATAATACTATTACTACTATTAATAATAATAATAGTCGCCATTGACTTTATTATTCAGTACATTAAAGAACATTGCAAGCAACCAGTCGCCAACTCTTTGGACACCAAAAGACTACTTCGGTAGTCTTTTATTATCAATTGATTATTGTTATTATTCTTATTAATGTAAAATATTAATAGAGAGCATTACTCTTTTACAGCAGCCATTGAGGGAACACTTCCTTCTGTTCACACTGGCATAATTCGTCCTCATTAATCTCAAATTCTTACATTTCACTTAATAAAAAACCTTTTTTTTGACATTTATTATTTTCCGTCACCTTATTGCGATGGGTAAACTTTTTACCTAATTTGCGTTATCCCTAGCTCTGTACCTTTAGAAAATCATATGTTACATCTAATCAATAAGGCTTACTTTTTGGAACCAAAAATAAATGTATCTCAGGTTTCAGGAACATGGAGGGAGGTGGGGGATGGATCTATGGCGGTTTCAAACTGTGAACGGTTTACGATCATTGCATACGGGGTCATAATTTGACTAAAAAAGCATTGATTTTTAACAAATAAAATTTTGTAAAACCGGCTCAGTTATGGCCTTCTTTATAGCTACAGGCGATTGAATTTGTTATATTGAATTTTTTAATACCAAAGGATGGGGTTTAAAGTAAATTACTAGATTTACTAACCTCCCTTTGTCAAAACTAGTTTATCTTCTGTTTACTCATTTTATGTCTAAAATTTTTTATTTTTCCAAAGTAAAGTAAAGTTCCATAGTTGTGGCATGCGATAAGAGGGTAAAGGAAAAAATCAACTAGGTTACCAAAGTAAGTAGTTGGAGAGTCGAGTCAAATAGAAAGTAGTAACCGCAAAAAGCGCAAAGAAAAAGGTTTTTTATTGTGTATATAACTTTTGATATCTTAGTTGATATTTCTTCAGAATTTTATCTCAGTGTGGTCCATAGAATCATTATCTGCAACCTTTTTTTTTCAAGAGCTCCCCTGACGATTTCCTATGATATGGTAACGCTACCCGCAAATAAGCTTATTTCGTGAGTTTCTGTAGTCTTGCAACGAATAATATTGAATAAATTTATTTTAAAGGGGTTCAATTTTATCGGTAACTTTTTTATATGTAGCTCTTTACCTAGCTAAATAACGAGACCTAAATAAATAAGGTAAATATCAGAGATCTTTAAAATATTTAATTTTTACACAGAAACTGAGGCTTAGAAATAAATAACCCAACTTTAAGTAGTTATCAACAATAACATATAAATAATTTTTTACCCTATTTAATATCAAGGGTTATTTTTTTTATAACAAAATATAAAATAGGAGCCTTTACCAATTAGCTGAGCCAAATACGTTCACTAATTAGCAACTTTCCGGTGTTAAGGCCGTAGGAGTTAAATTGGAAGCTCAATAACCAGGGTATTGTTCATTTTTTTTCAACCTATAAACCTCCCGACAAAAGATTAGAAGGGAGGGATATCGGTACAACATTCTCTGGCACGACCTCAGTAATTGTTGGCGGAGATCTCAGTTGGAAACATTCACTCTGGAATAGTACCGGCACGAACCCACATGGGGTCTTTCTTGAAAGACCTGCAGAAGAAATAGGAATCCTTGTGAATAGGTCTAGAGATCCAACTCATTATGCCACAAATTACACAGTCAATGTTCTCGATATTACCCTGATGAACATTTGTGCTTTAATTTCTATAACAGCGTTGTGGGAATTTTCTTTTGACCACCATTTTGTTCTAACTACACTTGAGGATACTCTCTACAATTTACTTGAAATGGAGAAGAAAATAACGAAGTGGTCTAGTTTTAAAGGGTATTTGGAAGACGACCTTTCCTTTTTTATGGATCCTTCGTCTATCTATGGCCTCAATGATGCAATAACGTACTTAGAGTCCGTAGTTCTTGAGTCACACAATCGAGCAACAGATCACAAAACCCTACTTGTTTCACCTCTTATACTTCCGGAGAAGTTGAAACGCACAATTCCCAAAAGGAGGCATTTGAAAGGAAGATACGCGCTTACTACATCCCGCACGACAAACGCTTTTTAAACAAGCGAATTATAGGGTTAAAAGAGAACTTAATTTTTTCAATAAAACAAGCTAAAAAATTTAAAAGCCTCCGACCACTTTTTATGGAAATTAGCAAAAGGGTTGAAGAACAAAAATAAACCCTCCTTAAACTCATACCTAACCCACCACGAAGGTCACGCCGTTATTCCCCTTTGGACAAGGCTAATCTGTTTCCAAAATCCCTAATCTCTCATTCTGATTCCTCTTCTCAAAATCTTACAGCTTAACTATTCCGTTTTACCCACTATTCCCTACACTAATGAAGAATGGACACGTTGATTCGCTAGCGCTTACCACACTGGAAGAAATTACTGAAGTAATAAGAACACTTTCCACCATAAAAGCGAGAGGTTCAGATAGTATAACTAATCTATTGCTTAAACATCTATTAACTGCACTCACTTTTATTGTAAAATTGGCGGATACGATGCTTCTTCTACAAACGTTTCCAGAACGCTGGAAACTTTCCCATGTGGTCATGATCCCAAAGATGACCACCTCCGGTCTCTCGGTCAAAGATTACCACCTAGGAAAAATTGCAGAAGCACTTATTTTAAATAGGTTGCAGAATTTTGTGGAGAGAGTGACTGTGATTCCTTATTTACCATTTGGCTTTCGAAAGGGTCATTCCACCACTTAACAGATTTTAAGGCTTTCCAGACACGTTACCAAAACGTTAAATTATAAAAGCTACAATTTTTGTATTCTTAGATGTCGAAGGAGCCTTTAATAACGTATGGCACGAAGAATTAATTTCGAAAATGACAAATTATATTATTCCTTCGTACTTGATTTAATTAATAGTCCTTATTAAAAGATGGAATATTTAAAGCCAAGATAAAAACCCTAGCCTCCGACTCGTACTCTGTTTCTGCAGGTGACTCCACAGGGCCCCGTTTTATCCCCTCTGCTTTTTTCTGTCTTCACTTCTATTTTCCCAACGGTCAGTGCTGTTTCCCTTGCGCAGCATCCTGACGATACTGCAATCTATACAATTTGTTCCAAATCAGTCCAGTTGGGTATAAAAAGTATGCAATCATACTTAGAACTCCTTGAAAGCTGGTTCGCATCTAATAACCTTAAACTAACCCCACAAAATGCAGGGCTTTACTGATCTCGCGAAGAAGGAAACCTCGCCCAGTGTGCAACTTACGATTATTATGATCTCTGGTGCTCGCAGGCTAAGTATCCTGGAGTAGTTATTGGTTACAAGTTCAAGGGGGACACTCACGTAGACTACTTAACTAACAAATTTAGAACTATTAGTAATGTTTTATACCCTCTTTAGCTGCTTCTATCTAAATGCGTAAGAACTATACCCACGCATGCGCCTTCCGCTGGATCCACTCTTCCATGAGACACTTAAATAGACTACAAACCCTACAAAATAATTTTCTTTCATTGTGTACCGACTCCCCGTGGTTTATAAGGAACTGGCATCTCTAACGGGGGTGTAAGATTGAATTTATCACAGAACTGATCAAAAACAACGCAAAAAATGCTTACAGGCCAGCACTCACAACAAATTGCTATTTACGGTAATACCTACGATCTTCGGTGGTATACCAAATATAGGAGACCTAAGCACCTGTTGGTACTAACCAATTCAACTGACAAATTGAATACTTATATTACTACTCTATCTACTAATACCAATAATATTAACAATAGAATAATAATAATAATCTTAGTAATTGTGACAGTATAAGTAAAATCAATGATAATTTTAATAAGAATTAATCCTATAAAACAAAAATACAGCTAGTGTGTGCTTTAAATAGATGACTGTAGAAGGTCAACTTCCCCTACATCTGGAGTGTACTATCCGACCCTTTACTACAAAGGGAATAAAGATTAAGCAGTAAAAAGGACGTACATTCTTAACTGTAGTACGCCAACTTCATAAATGAATAAGTGGATAGCACACCCTCGTGGAGAGTTTATTTTTTAATGCTCTTTGCTTCCTGCGGGACAGCTTAATTACTGGGTTATGGGTTATATATATATGTCTAGTGAATTTATTTGTACATCTTTTCCTACCCTGGATATACATATATTTACACTTTTATAGCCTCTACCTGCGGTAGTGCCGCTCCAGATTTAACAACGAAGCTTCTATATCCCTTAACATATTTTAAAATCCCTATTCAAAAAATTTTTTTATTTTTTAATCTTGTGAGTTATGGAGGATGTATGGGACAAAAGTGAACAAATTGAGCATAAGAGTGCAGCTATTAAAAAAAAAAAAGAAGATTTCAGGGGGGGGGGAAATAATATTAAAACGCTCAGCGAATATAACCAATTTTAACTCCTCAGAATTTCGAAGAGAAGTATAGGAGATTATGACTGAGGCAAACTGATAGTACAGAAATATAAGTATGGAAAAGGTGAACGGAGAACAGGAGGAGCGTAAGCTATAACTTCTTGAAAATTTTGTAAACATGTTTGTACAGCGAAAAAAAGAGTGGAGGCAGGCTTTAAAATTGCAAGTGCGAAGGTATCCCTCTGAGACTAAACGACCACCTAAAGGGATTTACAAGGTTCAAAAAGGGTTTTATCCAACAAGAAGCATTTTAATACTTGGAATAATTGGAAAGTTTGAGTGTCGTGTTAAATTAGATTCTGGTTCGGATAGAAGTTATATTAATGCTGAGTGGGCTAAGAGGAGAGGTTTCTACATATATTATAGTAAAGGGAAGTATACCGTTTTTGGTGGCAAAGTATACGAAAGCATTGGTCGTAGAGTGTTTGTTGACCCTTAATAGGGCAGAAAAATTGAAAGTAAATGTTAACCATACATATATGATACTTGGAAAAGAACAAGGATTTAGCTACTTCCTAGTTCTTAAGATACGAAAAGGATGACGATGTAAATATCCTTATATTTGACAAGAAGAAGAACTAATTATCTCGGCAGAAAATGTAGTGCTTGGAAAGGGCGATAAAAAGTCTCCTTTGAAGTTATAGAGAAAAGTTTAACACGATTCATTTTTGTGATGAGGTAAGGAAATCTATGGTTAAAAGTTGGCACTTAGAGTATATAAACTATGCTGGGAGCAACACGAAAGAAGGATTATAATTTTGGAGCCCATAAAAGTTACTCATAAAGTTGGAGCACTCCTCGTATGTATGGTGCAAGTATGCTATAAAGACAGACT